TGAATATATTTTAATTATTTTTAACTAGTACTTAATTATAAACGCATGCATTATATCCGCAAGTAAAATTGACTTAATTCCATCTGATAGATTATGAAATCTTCATCAAATTAATTTTGGATATAAATAAATAATTTAAAAATTTGAATCAGACTGCACTAAACTCATAGATGGGTCATCCCAATCCAAATACGCACGACACCTAGCAACCTACGCTGCCCAACTTGACACTTAGTGTAGCACAATTGAAATATCCTATCGCAACTATGGAATCATCATTTACACAAATGTGTTTTGTAGTTTTGAAATAGAATAATTTTACATCAAATCCATAATCACGTTTTCCAGTTTTAAAAGTTTTTTTCGTGATACATAAATTTGTAACTATATATGCATTAACCATAAATTGTGATTTAGTATTATGTTGTTATTTTAAAAAATGTAAATTTTTATTAATAATTATAAAAAATCGTTAACTTCTGTCTTTAAGATTGAGGTTAAGAGCGATTCAAAACAACATATTTTAAAAGAATTTGTTGTACTAAAAACATAAAAGTATATTATTTGTTTTAAATAACTTAACATCTTTAATTAAGTGCTAAAAATTAGCACTGAGGGTTGAAGTCAAAAATAATAATTATATATTTAAGTGTTATTTAAAAAATTTTCAAACATTTTATTGTTACTTAAGTATAAAATTTAAACTACTTTTTTCTCTCAAATTAATGAAATAATTTTCACAAAGAAGAGAGGTTTTGAAGGGATAACAAAATTTGTATTTTAAATAAATATATTTAAAATTAATATATTTAAAATTAAATATACAATTTGATATATTAATATAAAATTATTATATTAATAATGTATTTATTATTATAAATGATATATAACTTTTTTAATTGAAAATTTAAAAATATATTGTCTCCTCTTAAACATAGAATAAAATATTCAAAAATAAATTTAAATGTATTAGCACTGAAAAAAGTAAGTAAAAGAAAAAGTTTTCATCTAGCAAAAAAAAAAAAAAACTCACATTTTGATAAAACTTCCGTTTTAGTCAATCTAACAATTTTTTTGTCTTAATCTTTATTCTTTTACAATTTTCATTTTTAATATTTATTATTATTTTGGTTCATTAAAATATTATTAAATGTAAAATTTTAATTAAAATGTGTAAAGTAAATATTATAATTCATAAAAAGTGGAAATATATAAAAAAGGAAATTAAAATAAAACAAAAATCAATAAAACATAAAGATCATAATTAAGCCGAAAAAAATAATAGTACTCATCAATTTTAGCATACTCCAAGATTTAAAAAATTTGTTAAAAACAATGCCAAAGGCGTAATTGTTACGCTACTCTTTGAGAGTCGAGTATTGTGTGTGTGTATATATATAATGGTTACTAAATATTTATAATTTTATAAAAGTAAAATTTTCACTTAATCGTATTAGTATTTCATCTAAATAATGATATTTTATTTATTCAATATAAATAACTAGGCATAATTTAAACTTTTGAAAAAAAATAATGTTTTATACTTTTTAAAATAATAAATAACAAGGCTTTTTATCTTTCTAACAACGGTTACGTAAAAAAAAAAGGTGAAATATTTAGCAATATTTTCTTCGCAAGTATGCACTCATACATACACAATCTCTTTGTCGAACAAAAAGTGCTTTCTAACGTTTGTATTATCTTCATAATTATTTCTGCTTTATCTACAGTATTGCTTGGAACCAGGATATAATTTTCATTTCGTGTGTGGGACACTTTCATTAGAATCTACTCATTATTTTTTAAATAGCATTTGTAACTTTTGTGGGACTTACTTTCTAATGTTTTCATAAAAAAGAAGAGACAAAATTCGACATTACATGTGCAAGTTCATATGGATAATGGGCAATAAGCCATGCTAACCCGGAATTAAACTTGTTTAGTTGGCAAAACTAAAATGTTTTCACTGTTAATTGTCTTTTTTCATATCCTTGACATTAAGAAGATTCCGCACTCTTTACATAAACCAACGTTGGATAGCTGAAGGTAGTGAGTTTTTTCTTTTACACGTTTTGAGAATCCCTAAAATTGTATGTCTCTTGAGTTATAAGTTTGGGCAACTATCTTAATTGAATATTTCGTCTATATATCTTTTGTGAAAGATTTCGGTTTGCGGCTTATACAGTACGTGGTGGAGTTCTCACACAATGGTACATTGTCATATTTATGACATCAAACGACAATTAGGAAAAACATGTTAATTAGATAATACATTTTCAATGTATCAATTATATTTTTAACATAATAATTGGCATAATAGCTTGTGTGTGTGTATATATATATATACTCGAAATTAGTCTAGAATTTAATTATTTAAATGCTACCACTGACGAAATACATCAATAATGCCAATCATTTAAATACCATAATTAATTATGGACTGGCGTCTGAAAATGATATTTTAATTTAATCGTGGCCCCTCGGTAGAATCATTATAGTCACTTGTAAGTTGTAAGCCAAATCCAGCTAGCTTTCCAAAAGGAATATTTGAGACTGTTAGATTGGTACTAATAATTAATAATGAAATTTTTTTATATATGATACATAATGCAGAAAACAAATAATCCCCGCTCCAAATTGATGGACTATATTAATCAATTAATCGTTGTGTAGCCACCAAGGAACCTCAAAATATCACATAAATTTCATATATGTTTTTTAGTTTTCCATACCTAATTTTATGTGTATGTGGAGAGATCCAGATGATCTTTTCGATCTACCGAAAAATAACCAAATTACAGGAATCAATCTAAGTACTAAAAAACAAACAAATCAGTCCTTCATTGTGTTAGCTTAATTTTAAACTGTTGATCATATTTATTTTTTTTACATAAAAAGTGTTTATTTAATTATAAATTCACATGACAATTTATGTTGTGAAAAGAAGAAAATTACTAACTTTCACACAAACACGTTGTAATTTGAGATATATATTTTAATTTTTTCGCACAAATTTTACATTTAAAAAATTATATTTTTCTCGTATAAAAAATTATATTATAACTTGTTGAACCTTCCTTCATTTGACTCAATTCCTTAGTTGACTCATCAATTAAATTGCATATATATATATATATATATATATATATATATATATATATATATATAACACATTGCTTAAGTTCAATTTAAAAGGTTTTTTGTTAATTTAATTACAATTATATGTTAAAAGATAATAATGATTTATTATTGCTAGAAATCTATCATGATATTTACATACAGATTATAATCATTATTATTTTGTTATAATCTTGTAACATGAAATATCATTATTTTATTATAATTTTAAACTATACTTAACATATTTTTCTTATAATTTGTACTAATTCATTGTTTAATATATTATATAACATTAAAATGTATTCTATTTTTAGTAATTTGACTACAGTTCAACTATAGTACTAAATAAATAAATTATGAATTAGTATGTTCACCGACTAGATCAATAACTAGTCTAATTTTTAAATTATGTAAAACACACATTTCTCTCTTAACATATAAATATTATATTTAAGTATATTTTAATATAAATAAACATTTCAGATATTTTTTTTTTCTTTTGTGGTGATTCTTAACCTGCTTAATAACTAATTTTTAATATTCATCATCAATTTCATGACTTTAAAAGAAAAAATAATATTTGTAAAATAACGTATACTATACAATTAATAAAATGAAACTTTTCAAGTCTATTTTAATTTACTCAATAAATTGTGTGAGAAAATAAATACCAATTTAGATAACTCAAGCCCATAGTTGGTATGTCAATCTTGGAGGCTCCATTAAAACGATACTTAAAGAGGAGAGGAACAAATGCAAATAGACGCTAGCATTAAATTCTAGTCCTAATACGAATGGGTTTGTTACGTCGTGCAAGCACCACCAAATCATGCCCAACACGGTGTACCAGTCTACCATTCTTTTTCAATTATACTGTATTTATTGAACCTGATTCCACTAAAATTAAAAAATATAAATATAAAAAAAAATTATTTGTTCAAAGTCAGTTATACTTATAAAATATATTATTTTAAATAATAAATATACTGTATTTTATATGTATATTTTTTACTTTAAAGAAACTAAATCTGTATTTATTAGAGTCAACAAATTCCTCCAAAAACAAATATCTAATATATTAAAGTAATAGTTTAAAATCATAGAAAAACTTATTCACACATGATTTATTTTAGCCGTAAGTTGTTTTATATGATCCACGACAAGTGCTCCTAACTTTTACGAGATTCACAAGAGTTGATTCGCTACAAATTTTATGATGGAAAAAGCTCAGGTTCTCATAAAAGAGTCTGCTGCTCTATGGAATTAAAATATCGGAAATGAAAACATGGTTACAGTAAAAATTACTTAAAAAATATTAAGAATTCTTTAGTGATTTACAGAATTTTCTTATCGAATATGTTTTATTTCATTATACAAGTCGGTATTATCTTATGTTTCAATTATTAAGAAGTTATTAATAATTGAAGAGTATTTATTAAATAAAAAAGTATCAACGTTGTCAGCTTTTAAGATTAATTTTAAATACTTTAAAGTAATAAACTTTAATGAAAAGATATTAGTTATATACTTAAAATATAAGGAATAATAAATGTTTTTTTAATAAGCTTTATTTATTTTTATATGTTTGAAATTAATATTGACAAAATCAGTAAATAGTAAATAATTAACAAAATTTCGTGTTTGAAAACACTTTACTTTACATAATGGATTTAAGAGAAACATTTATTTCGGTATAGAAATAGCCAAAGAAAAATAAATTCTTTTTAATGTTGAAAGGTACTGGCATTTTGTGGTTTAGGCGGAACATGGAGATTACCTATAATCTCAACAAATGCAACGTGGCAGATTCTGAGATGGGTTAGGAGGCATATCAATCTATGGGTAAGCTTCACGAAAACAAAATACCGGACGCTCCAATGGTTTGCAGGCAACTTACTTAGTCTTACCAATACCATCACTCTTCTATAAGTGCTTCTCCCAAACAAACATTTTTTAAAGACACCTTCCTTAACAACCACTCACTACTCAAAGGGAGAAAAAATGAGCTTCAACAAACCTCAACAAACAGCCTAAAAAGAAACTCAATTGAGAGCGAGAGATCATAAATCAATGGAAGAGTGTCACACGGTGTTTGGGAAGTACGAAATGGGGAGGCTCCTAGGGAAGGGGACGTTTGCCAAAGTGTATTACGGAAAGGAAATAAGCACGGGCGAGAGCGTGGCGATTAAGGTAATAAACAAAGAACAAGTGAAGAAAGAAGGGATGATGGAGCAAATCAAACGCGAGATATCAGTTATGCGTTTGGTGAGACACCCAAACATAGTGGAACTAAAGGAAGTCATGGCCACCAAGACTAAAATCTTCTTCGTAATGGAGTACGTGCGTGGCGGCGAACTCTTCGCCAAAATTTCCAAAGGCAAACTCAAAGAAGATCTCGCCCGTAAATATTTCCACCAACTAATCAGCGCCGTTGATTACTGCCACAGCAGAGGAGTTTCCCACCGCGACCTCAAGCCAGAAAATCTCCTCCTCGACGACAACGAAAACCTCAAAATCTCCGACTTCGGCCTCTCCGCCCTGCCCGAACAGCTTCGCTACGATGGACTCCTCCACACCCAGTGCGGCACCCCTGCTTACGTGGCACCCGAAATTCTCAGAAAAAAAGGCTACGACGGTTCCAAAGCAGATATTTGGTCATGCGGCGTCGTTTTGTACGTTTTGCTCGCTGGCTTTCTTCCTTTTCAAGACGAGAATCTCATGACTATGTATAATAAAGTTCTCAGAGCCGAATTTCAGTTCCCACCGTGGTTTTCATCTGAATCGAGGAGATTGATCTCCAAGATTCTAGTCGCCGACCCGGCCAAACGAACCACGATTCCCGCTATAATGCGCGTGTCATGGTTTCGGAAAGGTTTTTCCGTTACGGACACGTGTCAGTTAGAAGAGAAGGTTACGGAGGACGGCTCTAGAACTGCGACGAGCAAGGTTTCGTCGTCGCCCAAGTTCTTCAACGCGTTTGAGTTCATCTCGTCCATGTCTTCGGGGTTCGATCTATCGGGTCTGTTCGAGAGCAAGAGGAAGACGGGGTCGGTCTTCACGTCGAAGTGTTCGGCGCCGGCGATTGTGTCCAAGATTGAGACGGCGGCGAAGGGGTTGAGTTTCAGGGTGGCGGAGGTGAAGGATTTCAAGATTAAGTTGCAAGGCGCCACGGAGGGAAGGAAGGGGAGGCTGTTGGTGACGGCGGAGGTGTTCGAGGTGGCGCCAGAAGTCGCCGTCGTTGAGTTCTCGAAGTCCGCCGGCGACACCTTGGAATATGCTAAGTTCTGCGAAGAAGACGTGAGACCTGCGCTGAAAGACATTGTGTGGACGTGGCAAGGTGATGCCACGTGTAGCGCTAACGTCCCCGGCTGTCACGGTGACGAGTTTCAAAAGCAAGCGATTACTATTTAATCAGTGATTAATGAATGTGCGTGGCAGAGGGTTATAGAAGCGGTAAAGTTCTAACAAAGTTTCTTCGCCTTGTGTTTGTCATTATCGTCTTTATTCCCTGCCTGATTTTGAGAAAGATAGGGTTTACCCTTTTAAGGGAAGGCTGTAATGTACATAAATTGTAATTATTGTGGTGCGTTTAAATCCGGAATCGAAGTTTTCTGTGTCCAAATCACAAGTTTTTGCACTTGCACTTCTCTTAAAAAATTGATGAAAATAAATAATTGTTTTTTAAAACCGCTGACGTTGTGAATGTGATTTTATTCTTTTTTATCTGAAAACTAATAGTTAAGTACACTTAAGATTAATGAATGTTTTCAAGGAGTAATTTAAATTTAAATTACAAGTTCAAGTCAAAGCAAATGATCGTGACTATAGTGAGCACTCTGGTATGACAGGGAAACACTAATGTATAAGCTCTTCATGTTGCAAAGTGAAAAGTTTTCACATGGGAAGGTGACAACGCACAGCTCCAAGCATCCAACAAAAGTTGATGATAAATATTAAATAATTTATATGAAGAACGTGGTCCACATTCACAAAACCGAAAGCAGGCAAACAAGTTATGGAAACTTGTAGTTGGGTTGAGAGAGATGGCCAAGAATGCCAAAATTGTTTAAAGCATAGTTATTCCAAAATTTCTGTGTCCTTTATGATTTATTGAAATGTCGTTGCCGTTAGCACAATCCGACTTTTAATCCTCCAAGGTATAAAATCTAATTAAATATATGTTTTTTAAAACGAGTTAATATTATTTTCAATAAATTATACTAAAAACCTTATTAAAATAATTTTTAAAATTTATAAATTATTTAAGAACTCTCTCACATCCTTCTTTAATTTAATGTCTGACCCTGGAGGCCTTTTGGCTCTTGAGGTTTGTTTTTCCACAACGGGGCGAGAGCGGCAACCAACCGCAATCATTTCATTGAATTATTATTATTATTATCACTTTGTATGACATGATTATTTGCTTTTTTATATACTTCCTTATTCTTTGTTTGAATTGTTTTCCCGCTTGCTAATACTGTGCTTTTTTTATGGTTGTTAATTACACAATTGATTATCTGTTAAGGTTGTTTAAACCCCCATAAAAGAACGAGTTGTTGTTTTGTAGTGCAAGATCCTAACAGGAATATAAAAGAGTGTTATGTTTATTAAACAAATCAGAAGGGGAATAAGTCATTACATATACCCATCAACGAAAGCAAAAGTCTATAGTGAAAATTTGAATAGCAAGTTGGAACACGCCACATGAGATTAACCTACTCTACACTTGGAACCAAGACATTAAAAGCTCTATAGTCTATACCGCACGGCACAAACTCCTACCCCTCATTATCTCTTCTTTTTCAGCAACAAATAGAAGTAGAACAACGTCTCACTTTACGCGATTATATAACTGTATTATGTAAAATTGACTCCATTAAATTAAATGACTCAAAAGAAGATAGGACCTTTTGTTTTTTGCTACGATGAAATTGTTGATTAAGGAAGTGATCAATGTTCCTCCTTTTTTAGTAGCACAAACGCGGTTCTGTAACGTCGATTTACTGTAGTGTGCGTCACCGTTGCTTTTATCCCATTTCTTTATTATTTATTTTGGTTTTGTTTCTTCTGTCATGTCTACTGCAAACCGGGTTCAGAGGATTAATTGGTCTGCACTATACGAGTGGTTTTGGTTTAGACTTCAGTATTCATTCATTGCATTCCTATCTCACAAGCTACGTTTGTGTCTGTACGTCGAACAAGAGACATTTGACTTTGTCTTCTTTTTTTAAGAAGATTCGTGAAATATTTTAAATTTATAATTAATACGTGACTAGTGTAACAATAACATACCATCAAAGTCGCTAAAAAATAAGATGTAATTATTCCAACGTCTGATTCTATGCTATTTAATTATCAGCTTATTTATTATTTTCAAAATTATAATTTTTGTTTTCCTTGTATTTTTTTCACTAGAGCTGTTGATATGACGATCATTTGTCAATGTGACGTTGTATCATTATTTTCACGATCGTAAAGTAATTGGAAAAAAAAAGTATCAAGTCATTCAATACCCCATCCCATGTCGGCAAAGAAAAATCGTGCCAGATGATGATAAAAAAAAGACGACAGTATCATATTATAAAAAATAAAAGTGTAAAATTAAATTAATGAACTTTACACATGTAATATTAAGTCATTATATTTATTTTTTTAATAATATAAGAGGATGTAAATCTAAATTTTAAAGTTGGAGCACGTTGTTGTCCAAGCATTCAACAGCGTAATTCATTACATTTTAATCAGAAGATTATCAGATGAGAGTGAGACAGTTAACCAAAATCCAATTACAGTGAAATTAGCATAACTTAATACCTAATTATTAGTATTTCATGGTCTTTTTTAAATCCTTCCAATTGTTGCACTTGTATTTCAAGAATTATGTAACGCAAGTAGTCTTTATACTTCACAGTTCACTCAGTTTTTATCTTATAAAAAAAATATAAAGAATTTCTAAAGTCTTCCAAATCCACGTGTTCCAATGATCCACATCCACCTGTAATCCTGTATTTTCTTATTCAGGTCAACCATGTGTAATCCTGTGTTATTTAATAGGACCTCTTCTTTGTCTTCAATAGAAAGGTTAAACTTTTGGGCTTTGTGACAATAATTTTGTGCTGGACTGCTGGCCCAGATGTTGTGAATACTCACTTGCCTATGTCGTTTTTTCTGGGCCTAGATCACCGCGTAATGTCTCAAAAAAAGCTCCTTAATATAACTTTTGTATACAGTTCCTTTCTTTGACAAAACAAAAAAAGGATATGATTCCTTTCATTCCTTTTTATTTGTCTACTAAAAAAAATTGTACATTTAAAACTGAAGTCATCACTTATTACTATATTTTCAAGTGTACACTTGTCTATATTTAATTCTTAACTATTTTATGCACTTATTATTATAATTTAATTAAAATATATTGATAGTGTAATTTTTTATAATGTAATGCATTTAAAAACCATTATATCAGTAAAATTATTTTTTCAATAATTAACTTAAAATTTATATCTATAATATTTTTAATTGGTTCACGGTTAAATTTTTTTATACTTGCAATATAACAAAATTTAACTCATTATAAATGAAATAATAATAATAATAATAATAATAATAATAATAATAGTTATATTAGAAAGTTAACACTAATTTCAGAATAATGCTAAAAAATATTTTTATGAAATTGATAAAGAATTGTAATTATTTTTTAATTATATATATATATATATTATTTTATTTTTCCCTGAAGACTTAACCCGTGTGTGGGCCAACTTTCACTTTCCCCTGAAACATATATAAAATAAGAAAAATGTCTTGTGGGCACCAATAAAGGTATTTACACCAAAAGATAGAAAACAAAAGAAAAATGTTATTAGATATAGATACAGTTTGAATGATTCTGAATCTATAATTGATCAAGCAAACTCCATAATTTAAAGCTTTACACGTACACATGATACTTATATATATATATATACATACAAACAATTTTTTTTTTCTAAAATGCATCAAAACTCTAAGTTAGCTTTCAATTTATACTTGGAAAAAGAAAAAATTATTGAAATGAATGTTTTTCATAATAACACTATAAATGAATTTTTACTAGTTTTACTTTCAAATTTATTGACCTACTTGCATGTTTGGGATGGTATTAATTGTAGTAAAAGAGAATAAATAAGTTTATTAATTATTTAGTTAAGTACAGTGTAATCTTTATAGTTAAATAAAAATAATATAATATTTTTTAACATTATTTTAAGTGAAAGTGAAGTTATTTATTCTATTATTTTAAGATCATAAAAGTAGTTATCACTTGTTAATAAGGAGTAAGTTATTTTGTTAGCTAATTATTATCTAAATCTATAAAATTGCATTCACTATAACTTATACATCTGCTTTAGCTTAATATAAGTATATTTATATCTTTTTATTTTCATGTGTAAGTATTAATTTTTTTTCTCTGTGTATATATATTTTGAGTTTATCTTTAATTCTCTTTAATAATATATGTTTTACTTCTAAAAATAATAATTCAAAAATATTTATAGGATATTATTAATTATAAAGTATCTGTTAACTGAACTAAATTAATAAATTTATTCAATTTTAGTAACTAAGTTTTCATTTGAGGAATTAGACTTATTAAATGAAAAAAATAAATATAAGAAAAATAAAAATATTAAATCCCAGTGTAAAAGGACAAGGCAAAGCAATTTCAAATTTTTTATACCCGGCTAATTTTAAACAATATAACTAATACGAAGAAGGCATGCAAATATTTTCTTTAATTTGTTTTATTTTTTCATTTTAAAAGATAAAATATAGTATAAAATATAATTAATATTTTTCAAAATTTTCTTGTGATATTTATTATTTTTTGTTTATAAGAAATGCGTAAAATGTTTAAAAATTAGGTAGAATTGAGTATGTAATAAAAATAATATTTAATATTATGTTGAACTTCAAAAAAAGATAAATTTAAAATATATAGTTTTTGAAATGTACAATTAGAAACAAGAGAAATCGTTTTTCGTGTTTAGCCAATGTTACAATATATTTTTATAATTTCAATATAATAAATATATTTTTTTATAAAATTTTTTATTTATAAATACTTAAATTCAAATCTTAAAATTAAGATTAACAAAACCTCTTATGTATATAAAGTAAAAACTAATGAAGGGGTAGTTGGGAGGACTTAGCTGAGCTTGTAAGAGCAGTTTATGGTCGTCCGTGCACTTGGATCGATACGACAAAAGCACGGATATATTGGTAACAGCTTTCTCCATTAACTTTAGATTTAGATAAAAGCGTAACAATGCCATGCCATTCACTAATCATTATATCAATATATGTTTTAATTTCCACTAATTCACTCCGTTTTATTAGAGATGCCACCCAATCGAAATTAACGAAAGTGACGATCCAAGCGTTTCTCATTTTGGAATCGAAAGTATTCGCAAAACGACAGTGACGGTTGAAAATTCAAGTTTGGTTCAAAGTGGGGGAATCTTGTGGAAAAATAATGCAAGTAAACGACAAATTAGGTGACGCGCGGAGATGATGATGGGAATAAGGTCATGTATGTACGTAACTGTTTTTTTTTTCTTTTTTTGTT